CTGCCGAAGTTTAAAGAGCTCTAACGGCCCTAACCCCTAAAACCCTAAACCCCTTTTTTGCATCAGGACTTGTGCAATCGCCTGAAAACCCTTAGCCCTTTTGCATCCAGGCCTATTGCGACTGCCGGGTACCCCTGAAGAAAAAGGCCATGGTGACTGCCCTAAAAACCCTTTTTTGCATCCAGGCCTATTGCAACTGCCGGGTACCCCTGAAAGGAGAAAAAACTGAGGGCCAGGCAAATCTGCAGCACTGCCCTAAAAACCCTAAACCCTAAAACCCGAAACCGCAATTCCTAAAAATCATTGGCCAGGCCACGATCCGGTAGCCCAGGGAGCGCAAGGCCCGGATCAGCTCCTGGAGTGGGCTAATATAGGGGCCTTCTTAAGGTTTAGGGGTTTTAGGGTTTAGGGTTTAGGGCTTCAGAGTTAGAATAGGGCTTTGGGGGGTTCCTTATTACAATTTTTTGTGTAATATAGAATAGGGTTTTGGGGGTTCCTTATTATAATTTTTGTTGTATAGTATAGAACAGGGTTTGGGGGGTTCCTTATTATAATTTTTTGTGTAATATAGAATGTGGTTTTGGGGGTTCCTTGTTATAATTTTGTGTAAAAAACTCAAACCAGTCTAATTATTAAGGCCCCTATATTAAGCAGGAAACGGAAACGTTGAAAGATCAAGGAGAGAGTATGAGCTTGGGCGGTTTAGGGTTTTGGGCTTTTTGGGCTGAAGGGTCAGGGGTTGGAGGTTTCGGGGTGTAGCACTCTAGGGTTGAATTCTGAACATGAGGGTGGAGGGTTTAGGGTTTAGCGCCCTCATTATTTCACGACTCTTCCTATCACTCATACTAGTCCCATCACCATTGCTAGTGCATACTAGTACTATTCCTCTGGCCACCACAGCTCCCCAACAGCACAGACAGGGCTTGGTTTACCTTTTGTGGTTGGGGGGTTTGGGTTAAAAGTTTTGGGTTTAGGGTTGAAGGGTTTAGGGTGTTAGGGGAGGGGGCTTGGAGTGAAATCATGGGATACCCCAAAAATCTAAACTCACTGAGCCCTAGGCCGTAAACACTTTGCTGCATCTGGTCCCCATGATGCTGGCCAAAGAACATGCTGCAGCCCACACACTCAGCGCCTAAGCTCATTACATTAGACCCGAAACCCTAAACCCCAAGGGCTAAACCCTACACTCCCTCAACTCTATGAGCCCTAAGCGCGAAAGGCACGGCCCCGTTTGATTTCCTTCTGTGGCCGCTCGTGCATGCGCGGCACACCGCTGAGGCGGTAAACGCCGTTGCCCAGGCAAACCATCGCCTGACTTAGCGTCCCTAAACCCACGGACTTAAAGTGTGTAGGCTCACAACCCCCAAACTTTAGAGTGTAGCTGCGCCTTGATTGATACGACGGATCTACGATTTAGGGCACAAGATTCCCAAGTGGGAATCCTTACCGCATTGCATCTGAAACTAGCAATAAGATCTCGAGGCCGACAGAAATAGATGCTGGGTTGGGTCCTAAAAGTTAGCAGTTTGCGTCCAAAGCAAAGCCAACTCAAGCCAAAGGGGCTGAGAGGAAGCGTGCAGCGGTGCCCGCATTGGCCACGAAAAGTTCCAGCGGGGCCTTGTCCGAGCTTGACTAGCAGTACAAACAAACCATGGGGATATCAGCCGTCGTCTTCGCACGTCCTCCTCCCCCTCCTCCTTCTCTCTTCCTCCTCCTGCTCGCTTGTCGCATGACCGTATAGCAATAGCAATACCAGCAGTAGCAGCAGTGGCAGTAGAAGTGGCATTGACAATAGCAGTAGCAGCAGTAGCACAAGTAGCAGTATCAGTAGCAGTAGTTAGAAGTCAGTAGATTGTAGTCGTCGTCGTTGAAGTAGTACAGTAGTAGTAGTAGTAGTAGTAGTAGTAGTAGTAGTAGTGGTAGTAGTGGTAGTGGTAGAGGTAGTGGTAGTGGTAGTGGTAGTGGTAGTGGTAGTGATAGTGGTAGTGGTAGTGGTAGTGG